CAGAGCATCTGCCTGCCGGCCCAATCGCGGGGCTAAGCCGTCAAAATGATCGGCAAAGCCCCAGCGACCATCTAACGTGAGGTCCAAGTAGTTCAAATTGGGCCTCACCGGGATGCGGACCTCGTCCACGCGGACCCAGGCCTCGGGGGGCACCCCGCCAGTCCCGTCATGGAAGAACATTGCTTCCGACTTGGCGGGGGCCACCGCTAGGCTCAGATCCTTCACTGCACCGACAACGCATGCCACCGCTACGTTGGTCTGCACTACGGCTCTTCCCCAGGTCGCGCCCCCGACCACCACCGGATCTCTAGAAATAATCTGCATAAAAATCTTTCAATGTTCGCAACGTTCAAACTTGCTGTTGCATAGTCACTCTACACATTTATTTATAGAAAAATTTTTTTGATGGTTTTTTTTCTTTTTTTGGTATTGAAGAGGACCCAAATAATAGGATCGAAACGTTTACCTATGTCACAATTATATAATTTTAGTGTTTATTAATAAATTGATTGTTACACATTATATCCTGTGTCGGCTCTAATAGGCATTGAAAGATTTTTATGCTATGTATTTGCTATTTTATATTTCCAAAAACATATCTCAGATACGTCGAGCCCGTTATATGGAAAATTATAACGTACGTGCGGAGGTAAAAACTGGTAAAAGTATTGTTACTTATTACTAGCTAAAATTTCCAAATAAGGGAAATGACATAAAAAATCGATTGCACAAATATCTTGCCGTTGTGAGTAAATAAATATATTTATCTATTGTTACACTTTCACACTTACAGTACACAGTTGTTGAAAAATATATGCGAATGCACGGGTACATATATGTGTATATTCACGAATGTATATATATGAATGTTTTGCGAGTTACTTTATAGTAAGGTATATACATATAAAGAGATTATTTTTATTTGCAAGTACATCGTTTTTCATTACGAAACAAGTTTTCGTTATCACAATTAATATAATAACTAATTTTCGTTGTCGTTATTATAAAAAAAGGTGCTTTTTCTATATAACATATATATATAATAAATTAGAATGGAATTTTCTGTAGTGTGTGTGTGTATGAAAACAAAACTATTTTAATCTTACTTGTAGTCGGCTACAAATTTTACAAAAGAATAATACTTTGTGTCTCAAGACAATAATCTCGATTTATGTATATGGTAGTAAAGTAAAGTAAAGTCGCTTAGGCTTTTTCCATAATGGATACATGTTTAAATGTCATCAATTCAACATGGATAGGCATGGATGTTGATATCGTTTTCAAAGAATTAGATGATGAATCAAGATTATTTTCTCTTTCGGTCTCGAGAGATATTTATAAATTTTGGTTATAATCTTCTTTCATAATATACCGCATATATATCACTGCAGTCGTAATTATTAAAATATTTCGTATAATCATGCAATTTATCATATAATTGTATCTAAATTATTATATAGCCATTAGTACTAATAGAAAGAAAATACAGAACGAATTTATCATTTGAAATAAGCATGTCTCTGTTGTACTGATAAGTGGTAAGTGCATTGAGTGACTATAATACATCACCATATACTTCGATATGTGATATAACTATACGTTCTATCCTATTATTATAACGTTCAAACAAGGAACAAGTTAATACATCAAATAGAATCGCCGTATCATTATCGACACGTATGTATCTCAACTGTACATACACAGTAGTAGCGAACATGTTTAACATGCAATAATAAATCAGAAGCACATTTTGCACAAACACAGCATCGCGCGTTGCGCTTGTTACTTCCCGGTTTTTTCTTTTATTTTTTTTTCTTTTTCATATGAGAAACTCTGACATATTCAGTATTCGATCTCTTGCGTATTCGACACGCAAAAATAACTCATAAAAAATTTATTTCTGGAAGCTAGGGTCATTTTCGTGCTAAAATCTAAACTTCAGTATTAAATTTTTAGTTTTTATTAGTCAAGAATAATAATAATAATTAATAAGTGAAACAATTATTCTCTGTTTCCTACTTTATTAATTATAACTTTAAATATTGTTATAATATTCATTCAAGAAATTTGATGAGCTGATTTTATTTTTACAAAATGTAAAATATTAAACATTTTACATCGTAGGAATTAACATAAATAGTTATGAAATAATTAGCATCAGAATCATTTTTGCGCCAACAGTACGAGAATCTATGTCTCGACGAAATGAACAATCATTATTACGAATATTTATCAAGAAATTACGAATCATGAATTTTCATTTAATAAGGAATACGATTTTTTATACAAAGTCTGATCTTTGTTTTTCTTTTACTTCCTTTTTTAAATTATTACTTTACATATAACGAAAATAATAATAAAGAGAAAAAGATTTCGGTCGTGTGGCTAGGTTCTATATATAACGGATGGTCCTCGCTGAAGCATCTCGCTATGTGTGCGCGCGCGCGCGCGTGTGTATATATATATATATAAACTTTAAACTTTTTATACATAACACACACACACACACACATAATTGTACATACGTGTACGCGCGCGCGTGTATATATAAACATAATTTTGTATGTACGTTGGGAATTTATTTTCCTAATAAACGTAAAATTTTTTTCCTTAATTGAAAGATTCCTATAAAGAGATATGCAGAATTAATTTTCTTAACCATGAAAATATTAATTGCTAAAGCACTATTGTTTTAAATGTAAATATTTTTTAGACATTAACATATCATATTTCCATTAATTGTTTTATTAAGGAAAGTAATTGGAAAAATATTTAAGAGAATAATGTTTTACTTCTCATTAAAAAAAAAATCTTGAGTACTTTTTCAAAATAGTGCTAACGTTATGTATTGTAATTATTATACATATATTGCACGAAAATCGGTGAAAAAAGTACACATACATATACACACGCACATACAAAATTTATAAACTCATATAACAAACATTTTATCGCAATTATTATTATCATTATTACACATAATAACGAACAAAAATGAATAAAATTGCACTAAATATATGTATCTAGGCTAGCTACAGAGAATCTACGCCGATTGATACTTTCCCATTAATTTTGCATGATTATATTATATCGTAGTCATACATAATCTTAATGATTTAAATATCGACAAAAATTAACAATATTAATAATAAATCGTAAGTCAAATAATAAAAATTTAATGAATAACAAAATAGTATCGATTAAATTGCGAATATAATTTTTTTCTTTATCATAACGTTTCTTTTAAAACGATTTTTTCAAAATAATTACTATGGATATACTACATAAAATGATTAAGCATGTATTCCAAAGAAAAATTCTGAGAAAACTTGAAATAACTTGCAAAGTTGAAAAACAATTAATGCGCTGATTTTTTTATCTTGTTTAACAATTCATTTCGAGTTTCATTTTCACAAGAAATAAAAAATCATGATATAAAACAATGTAGTGATAATTATACAAAATTGCAAAGAAATCAATGCGTTAGAGGTTTTTAATTTTTATTGACTACTCTAAAAAATTTGTTAAACAATCTCCAAAAATTTTTGGATGTAAAACACGTAAAAAAATCAATTTCGATTGCACAAAAATTGAGACAAAGTTAATGTATTAATTTAGTAATATCTTCTTTAAAAAAATAAAAATTTAAATATATAACAATCCAATTAAATTAAAAACAGCTTAATCCATCTCTATTGCTCTTGTATGAATTATCTTCAATTATAGACAGTATTAAAAAAAGGAACGCATTAATTTAACACCAGATGTAATTATATATTTACATACACACACACGCGCGCGCGCGCGCGCGTGCGCAATTACACCCCCCCCTCTCTCTCCCCTCTCTGTGCGTGTGTGTCACATGGAAAAAAGAAATTGGTTCGTATGTATAATGTATATGTGTATGTCCTCCTGAGGATTTATAAAATAGAATCGACGAGATCCTGTCTATAAAAAAAAAATCTTGCTTCCACTAAAACTGGAATTGTTTTCATCGCTCTTTGTTATTCCGTAAAAATAGAAAAAAAAAGAGTCGATTTCAAATTGCTATTGCAACGATTTTCTAAAAAGGATAACTAGACTTTCCTCTCTCGAGACGGTCCTCAAAAGTCGCATCTCCACTTTTTTCGAAATACGAATTCTTAACAGAATTTTGGTAATTCATGTAATTAATAAAATTGATGTTAATCTTAATGATCAATATAAGAGTTATTATGTTACGTATTATTGCAGGTAACATAATAACGTTTGTGCGCAACACGAAAATTTAATACAGATTAATTTTATCACAATAATTTATTAAACATCGAATTTTATTAATTAAACATAAGCATGACGTTTCTTTTCATTCTTTCGGCACAAGGAAGATCAGAATTCTTGAAAAGAAGATTCTGATTATCTTTCGAAAACAAATTTTGAAACAAGATACTATAAAGGATACCATCGTCAAGCCGAGGTAGCAGTTTCGTTTTCCTTTCCGTCTCCGGAATATAGAAATTCTATAAATATAGCGTCCTTCAAAGGGAACGCGATTTCTTCTTTAGCACATGTATCTACAATATATGTATAAGCATATAATGTAATAACGTGTTGTTATTATCATCAGAGTCTAACCTTATCGATCAGGTCAAGCGCGATCAGCATTCTTTCCGAATGTGTGTGTATTCATTATATGTATGTATGATATCGTATCATCAGTACAATATACGAAATCTGCATATAATTAAATATGTTAATTAATACATTCTTCGCGCCCACATATTCCGCGAAGTCATTGTTTATAAAACACTGACCGCGTATTAAGCTAAATTTTAACAAATCCCGTAAAAATAAATATATCTCTTTTGTAAAAATTTTACAGTATCATTTATCTCTTTTTTAAATTAAAAAGAGACAACAGGACAGTTCAAGAGATCAATCGAGAAGATTGCTAATTTGGAAATTATAATTACGTAAACGATACGAATGATTTCAAGTCTGACGTTTTTCACAAAGTTTACGTAATCATAATCATCATCTACCCCAAGTGGTACAATTGTTGCTTAATTTCAACAGTCGACAACTCAATGCCATTGATAAATTATTATTCAGAATTCAAATCTTACAATTTTTCATCGCGTGATATTCTAATTATCAACGTGAAAAATGCTCAAGATTTAGGTCCCGCACGTCTGCGATTACTATATGTATTTCCCGACCTTCATGGACTTAAAGGAATTTTACTTATCCTCGATCAATATTAATTAGAGAAGATAGAATCGGAGATTGATTTTGACATGTAAAAATACATGTTTCCCGAAAAATGGACGAGAAAGGAAAACAGAGCTAAAGAGGGAAAAAGAAGGGAAAGATGTGCTATTATTTATTCATGGAGGTAGTGGTGGTGATGGGATCCTTCTCACCTCCACTGGACCAATGTTTTTCCTGCTCGCGCAGCTCAAATTCCCATCGCAGTTCTAGCTCGCGCATATCGTTTGCTATCCCAGCCTCGTATGTATCTTCCTGTGCACACATTGATTAATCAGATAATTGATAAATTGATAATTCTTGTTTACGATCATACTAAATTTTAATTTTTATTATATTTTGGAATATTTGTATAATTTTATTTATCATATAAATAAAAAAAGACGTAGTGAAATTAGTACTTGAAATCAAATCCCCAATAAAAATACAATTTCCTTGTGTGTTCGTTACATGAAAATATGGGGTTAAAATTATGGAAATTAATTACAAAATAAAATGGCACGGCTTACCTCCTCAGTTTTGTAATCCGTATTATATTCTTGATTTGATAGCCAATCATTAGTGGATTGCTGAATCCAAGGAATAGTAGTAGTACCAGTACTACCACCGTATGGATTGCTCCAATTTCGTACATCTCTCTCCCTTTCTCTGATACCCGCCTCGATCATTCGCAATTCTTGTGTCAATCGTTCGCCTGCTGTGACGAAAGTAGTAGCTCCTTGCGTAGCCAACTAAACATGCACATGCAGGACATGAATTGAACAATGCTTTTTGCATTTCTCAAAATTCAAAACGTGACGCATTACCTTTAAGTCATTAATTTTCTTTTCAAGATGTCTGAGTTGCTGCTTTACTTTCTGTGATTCCAAAATCAAACTGCAATGTGTACATAACATATAATATACATAATAAACATCTGTTTTCTTTTTTACCATTAACAAAGAGAGTTACAAATAAAAAATATAACTACATATATATCACTCACTCTTTTGACATACACTCCGATCTCGAGAATTGTGATAATGATTCTGGTGCAATGATATTGCGGCCGAGTGCGACGTGATTATCACTGGTGAAATCGCTGTCACCTTCACCACTACCAGGGCTCATCATTGACTGTATTCCATTCACGCCAATTGTTGCATATGCTGCAATAATATGTAATTAATATCAATTTAACAACTATCGTATACATAAACATTTTATCTATAAGAAAATTCTTGAAAAACATTTTATGAAAAAAAAAAAAAAAAATTATATTAAAAATCTACTTATGTATATTATAGATATAGAAAAAGTTATTCGTGAATAAAGTTCTTAAAATTCCTAATATATAATGCATTGAATGTATACAGTAATTTACATATTATTTCTGTCGATATATATACTCTGATAGCTAGAAATAATATTTCGTACTCACGTTGACTGCCATAATACCAAGAGGTTACAGAGTTTGGAGTTCTGAATGCAGTAGACAGTGTGGGGATAGGAGTAGGATCGACCTCCTCGTTGTAGAGATGTTGCAGAGTTCCGTTATAGGGAGACCTATTATCATTACTTTATTACTATTAAATAATAGATTATGTAATTTTTTAAATTATGCAATTATAAAAGTTATTAAAATTATACATGTATTACAATTAAATCGAAATAATATCTACACATATATTATTTATTATCACCTTATCAGAGTTTTAGATAGTCTTGAAATGGGTGCTTGTTTGCTAACTGATGGCAAAGAGGTTGTGGGAGATACATCTAATGGAGACATAAAGGGGCCGTCATCGTCGAGTAGATGCGAAGCGGTGGCAGATGAAGGTGGTGGCGGCGGTGGATCCGTCCCGGATGTACAGCGAAAGTTATTCGCAGTGGTCCATATCGAGTAATTGTTGGGTGCAGACAATAAATCACTCTCTTGCTGATGATCGTAATTCTAAGGGAAAATATATAATCATGTACAAAATATATAAAATATTGAATATATTAAATAAATTACACACGCACTCGCGCACAAAACAATGATAAAATATGTAAAGTTCGTTCGAATATAAAGAAACATAATATGATCAGAATACATGTTTACCGTTTTTATTTGCGGTGATATTAGTTGTTGCTGCTGCTGTTTGCCAACAATTATTTCCAACTGATTTAGGATCTCCATTTTGCGTTGCAATAACATCGCCAACATAGTTTTTCCCATTGCTGTTCGCTATTGCAAAGCGATTGTTTCATTGTTATTATTGTTATTGAAATTATATTAAAACTATCGTTACAATCAATTGTCACACAGTCACATTTAATAATAAATATTATCCACTAAAAGGATTACTCTAACAAATCTGGTTTTGTTGCTATTAAACGAATTTATCCATTTAAAATTCCGACAAATTACTGATTATAAGAAAGCAAGCTATTTTCTCTTAAACTTTTTTGTCGTTTGTTACTTGATTTGCTGGTACAATTTGTGGGGTATCCCACACTCCGAGGTTTGTCGTAGTTGTCAAGGAAGGTCCATAATCGACTGTAGGAACAGATCCTGGTGGCATTATGTAATGCCCAGAACAATGGACACCAGGAGATCCTCCACTATCCAACATAGTTCCTCCCTTTACAGAGCATAGACTAAGATGCGGCAAGTTTTGTGAGGGTGTAAGTGGCAAAACGTAGGTTGATGTCAATGAGTCAATCAAATTATTTTCCAAGTTGGTCGGGACAGGCGTTGAATGTTGCATCACTGCTGTAACAATTAAGATAAAATGATAAAATAATAGAGATGATTGTTTTATTTAAATATATTATATAAAAGGTGCGCTTCATTTGAA